AGAGTGAGTAGCTTCTCAACATTGAATAAATGCAATACTCAAGTCTTCCCAGCATGAAGTTTTTTGCACAAGTAAATTTTAGTTTTTCAGAGAAGAAGTCTCTACCTAGAGAATATATTTTTTTTTTCCTTCTATCTGGAGTTTCATGCCAGAAGTTTTGGCTCGTGATGCCTGAGGCTGAGCCCTGCAGGAGCTTCCAGCCCTGCCTGTCTGGGATGGCTGCATGGCTGCTTCCACCTCCTGGAGAAGACAATGAATGAGGGATTCTGGATTTTATGGATTTTCTTGAGATTCTTTTACTTGATTTCTTCTGGTTTTCTTTGTTTCCTTTCTGCTCTGGACTATGTCTAGTAAAGAGGTTTTGCCCCGTTCATCCTATTCCCTCCATTTCTTGTTAATATTTTCTGAGGGTTTTTTCTCCTTTATGTTCCTTTAAAAAATCTAATTTGCCATCCATAAATGAAAAGGCTGCTCACACAGTTTTTCCAGTGAGGGATCTAGGAAAAACGAGGACATATGCTGTGGGACAGTGTCAGGAAATGCATGCAGTGCCATACAAGTATTACCTTGTTACATGTACTTGTAGGTAATGTCACCCAGCAGAGGAGGGTGAGGGCTCTGCAGCAGCACAAAATACAGGGCTGCCCTGTGGTTTAGGAGGGAAGAAAAACTCTCTGTCAACAGTGATTTTGTTCTGCTAAGACATCAGTGCAAACATTGCTATTTATTTTTCCTCTAAGTGCAATGAATGTGATCTAATCTCTGCTTCTAAATCTACAGTAGTTAAAATCTTACTGCACTTATAGACTGATTTTCCACTTTTTCTAGGCAGTAATTCCCTCCTTGCTCTTACAGAGAAAAAATTACATTTTTCCTTATCAGTGGCAACCTGGCAGTGAAGTTGCTGGTCATAAGGCTACAAAAGGAATGAGAGGCAGGGACAGACAAGCTGCTGAGTAAGTTTGTGGGACTGGGACTGTTGCTGCTGTTAATTCTCAGCAATCTTTCCCTTCACACAGGAGCACACGGGTAGTGTAAATCAGTGACCCTCGGTCTGCAGGGTGAGGCTGAAGCTCTTTGGTGAAAGAATGAGTGTTCCCTTTGTGGGAATTCCTGGGGAGATGATTCCCCCCTCTCCCTCTAGGTGCCAGCAGAGCACAAGCCTTGCTGTGAGGCATTGCCTCCTGGATGGATTTCAGAGCAGTGTTCATTTGTAATGCTGCTTGATTACCTTTTAGAGAGATTGGGGTTGAGTGGTTGTCCTATTCAGAACAAACTCTGCATCCTTTGGAGAGCTGATGAAAAGAAAAAGTACTGGAGTTTAAACATGTTCTTTGATGGATCTGTTTCTGCAAATACAAAACATGTTCTCACCTGTGATGTCTCTCTGTGTTTCACAGGTAAAGAACCAACCAGAGGCTTCTTGGCAAGCAACACGCTGAGCCCTCAGAGGCGTCCTCATTTGTAACTCCACACCATGTGTTGTTCCAGAGATCCCTGGGGAGGAGCATGGCTGGTCCAGGGCCGTGCTTGCTGAGGGAGCATCGTGGTTGAACTTGTGCATCCTTCCAGGCTGATGGAGCCTGGGATGTGGTGGGAGCTCCCTGCCTTGGGCTGTGTCACATTTAATGCCTGTCACCCCTCTGGCCTGGGACAACTGACAAGTGGGATCCCTTCTGGTGCTGAATGGATCAGGCTGAAGCACCTTGTCCTGCTGCCCTGGGCTTTCCCACATGCCTGCTGACAGGGCTCTCAGGGACTGCTCCTCTAATGGCATTGATTGCACCAAAAGCAAGGTGTGCCTCTCTGCTCCCTCACAGCCAGCAAGAGTTCTGGCCCTTAAAGAGCTTTTTTTTTTCCTGTATGGAGGCCATCAGCTGCATTTCCCAGAGTGTTTCTGCTGGGAGAGACTGTGAGACTGTGACTGCTTTGCAGCTGCTGTTACAGATGGAGCATTGTGCACTTCTGCCACAACAACCAGGGGATGCACCCACAGGCACCGTGGGCTGCTGTGGACTCTCTTTGCTTGGACTTGGACTTGGTTTTTGGGAAGAAGTGAATGGAGAAGGATCTGAGGAAGAAAAGACACAGAGGAAGAAAGCTACACAAGCTGTTCAAAAACTGAATTTCAACGCTCTCTGCACTTCCCCCAAGTGATCTTCCTCTCAGAGAAACAGAACAAGGGGAACTGCGCAACAGTAAGTGAAGTTTAGTTATATTTTTTCTATGTCTGCTTTTTATAGCTATTAAAAATTGTTTCAGAGATGTTTGGGTATTCCAGCAATGCTGCCATAGGTTGATGATTTGAAGCTGGAGGCACAAACAGGATTTGCTGTCGGGTGCAATCAGGAAAAGGGGGAGGAACAAGCGGGCGGAGCAAGGCCGGGCAGCTCCCCAGCACGGCTTTAGCGGGAAAGCTTCCGTGGTTCCTTTGCTTCCCTCACTGCCCCGGTCCTGAGCAGCTCTCTGAGAGCTCCCTCCACTGGAGAGAGTTTAGTTGGTCATTACTAAAATGAATCCTGGTGAAAATACAAAGTGGTAGTAACAAAAAAAAAAAAAAAGGGAAAAAAAAATCTGCATTTGAAGCACTGATACTTCTCATAGGTGTTGATAAATACAAATCCCATGTTTTTAACCCTGCTGCTACATCTCATGCATTCCACTTGTGGAAGGGTTGAATGTTACCAGGCAGTCAGTGCCCCTGGCTGGGGCACCTGTGCTTCAGGGTGGTTCATCAGCTCAGATGGGATTGGGCTGTTTAAGCTGGAACGAGTGGGGATTGTGGGAGCAGGACTTGTACATTTGTGTGGCTCCAGAAAGGGCACTTGAAAAGAATGGCAGGGTCTGATGTGTTCCCTTGGCTGTGAAATTCAGGAGAGGCTGGCATGAGAATGGTTGGAGAAATGAATTGTGATGAACTTCCTAGTTCAGTGATTATGAGCTGTGGTGTGGTAAAGGGTAGTGAGATATGTCCTGCCAATACCTCACTTTAAGTGATGTCCCCTTGTTTTGGACTAAGTCATATTTAAGTTGAAGCAATCTTTATTTCCAGTTGCAGTATCTTTTTTCCCTGCCCTTCTCTGGAACTAATCTTTGAGACAATATAAATTGCTATTCACAGATCTCTTATTTTGCTTTGTTTCTGGTAAAACCAAAGAGCCCAGCCAAGGTCTCCTAGAGCTATGCTGTACAAACACAAGGGAATGGATGATCTCTGCCCCAGTTTGGGATCGTGACTCTTTGGCTCACTTGCTCACTTCAAATGACAATCATATGTACCCAATCACTAAATCCTTGAGAAAATGCGGGAAAAGCCAGGCCAGAAATAAATATAAAAACCTAGGTCCAAACAGAGAAAACTCTGAGCTACCAGAATGTGAAAATAAGAGATTTTCAAAGTGGGAGGTCACACCATCCTGTCCTCTTCATTTGCATTTCACTCCTATGAGGAGTTTGAGTCATGGGGCTCAGCCAGACTTGGGGCACACATGGCAGCAATCTGTATCTGTCCAGTGATGGTCATTCCCAGAGGACAAATTCCCAGGAAAGGACTGCAAGCCCATAGTGGTGACAAAGGAGCAAGCCTCCTTCTGCCACATACAAAATGAAAGCTCTTGGGACATCAGAGAACACAAATCTAACATCATAAAAACATTTCTTTACTACACGTTGAAAGTTCATTCCAAAACAACAAAAGGAGTTAATTTCTCAGGCCAAACATTGTAGATGGTAAAGACAACACAAGATCCACGTATTTAACAAAAAACAGAACGTAGCTCTGTGGCTTTTATTTCAGTAATACTGAAAGCATTAAAAACCCCAAAAGACTGGAACAGAGACTCTTTTGCACAGTGCAGCACCTTCCCCTCAGAGTTCAGGGGGTTTATGCACTGTGTCTGTACAGCAGCAGGAGAGGCAGCTCCTGGAACTGAGGCCTGGGGAAATACCAGACTGGGACACCTCTTTGGATTCCAGTGGCAAGCTCAAAGTTGGGATTGTCAGCATTTCTTACATTATTGTCCAGGAATTGGCACCCAAGAATTCATTTGGAAGGTGTTGCCAGACCTGTCTGCTGCTAGTGCAGGGGATTTGGGTGTTTCAAGCCTCAGCAGCACACACATTCAATTGCTTCATGACTTGGCTTTCTGCCTCTGTATGAAGTAAATCATCAGCTGCTAAATCTGTAGATGGGAAGGATGATTGGGACGGAACATCCTCTCTGCTTAAAATCCACTGGGAAGCAAATGTCAACATGCTCCCCTCCCCCTGTGTGGGTCACTGCTGTACTGCAAACCCCCCACTGCCTGTGAGCTTGTTTTGGGAAGCACTTGGGGGCTCGTTTGTGGACAACCTCATAAAAAGTCAGAACAAAACTATTGCCCCAGTCCTAAGGATCCTGCACAGTCTGTGACTCCAATTAAATTCCATGTTTCTTTTTCCTGAACTGAAGTTACGTTGATCATCTCCACCCACTGCATTTGCTTAGAGCAGTCAGATCTGCACAAGACCTTGTCACTGAGCCCACTCACTCCTTTCAGCTGTACTCTCTCTATGGATAGTACCTTTAAAAAACTGAACCCCCAGCTTTGCTCTGTGAATAAAAGCAGAGTACGTCTTGCTAAGCTTAATGCACCTTGGATTGCAGCTCTCATCTGACTGTGCTCATGAGAGATACTGGGGGCAGACAGCTGGCCAGTCAGCCTCTCACTGTGTGAAATTTATGCTACTCTATATGTAGGTGATTACAAAAACAACTTTTCAAGGTTAGTGTCCAGGCTTGCTGCTGCTTAGCACAGGAACAGGAGTCCAAAGACTTTTTTCTGCTTGAGTAACTTCATTATTAGTTTTTCTCTTTTTTTTGGTGGTTTTCTTTCCCTTAGAAATGTCAGGGTTATGGAATCTGATGGTTCATAGTTTTGCTGAAGGACACTTTCAGAGTCTCATAAAAACACACCAAGGTGATGGAGATAGTGAACTTTGCATAGAAAAATCATCCAGAGCTAATTAGTGGTTTGTACTTTTAAGGGATAATCAAATGCTGGGTTCTTGTAGGAGACTAAGTGTGTGCCATACTGCTCACTCTGAGGCTTTTTACACGCCTTGCACAGACATACAGACAAAATAATTGTGGTAATGAGAAAGAGTCCACTTGCTGCAGACAGCCCAGCAAAAACATACTTGTAGCTGGGTTTTGTTTTAAAGCTGGTGCACGAATTACCTGGAATTTCCTGGTCAGTTATAGTCTGGCTGGACCCTGCTTTGTTGGAGGCAGTGACACAGATGTGGTAAGTGGTGAATGGCAGCAGGTTGTACAGGGTGTACTGCCTGGCCGTGGGGTAGATGTTGTCCCTGACAAACTGCCTGTCCTCGCTGTCTTGGGCACGAAGCGTCAGCTCATAGCTGTGAACCACGGAATACGGGGCACACCAGCGGATCTGTGCAGAGCTGTCGGTGATTTCAACCACTGCCCTGAGCCTGGGCGAGTCTGGAATCTCATCTTCCCTCGAGGTGCCAGGACACGAGCACTGGGATATGTTCTGGAGCTCCCTGCACGGCTTCTGCAGGTGCCTGCAGGGGTCGTAGTCACAGGCGGCCTGGGCTTCCTCCCGTGGCCCTTCGTAGTCGTAGTCATCGGTGTAGTGTGGCGATGGGGTGCTGGGCACAGCCGCTGAGGGGGCACCGCTCCTCGCGGGGCTCAGCTCTGGGGGGCTCGTCCGGGGGGCGCCGTGCCTGCCCTGGGTGGCAGAGGGGTGACTGTGGTGGTGGGTGGTGTGGGGGACTCCTGTTCCTCCAGCAGAATAGTCACTGCTGGTCTGGTTGAATGGCCCTGCTCGGGGGAATGTCGTGTCCGTCGTTCTGAGCTCTCTCTGTAGCTGTTCTGTGCCAGCTGGACTTGGGGAGCTGTGGTCCGGGGACTGAGCAAAGAGCTCTTGGAGAAAAACTGGGAAGGAGGTTACAGATGCCAAGGAAGGGGGACTAGTTGTGGATTCAGGAACTGCCTCCTCCTCATGGGAGGAACTGTTGGCCTTTGTTAGGATGGGCTCCGTTGGGTTGGATGCTGCCGTGCTCCTTGCATGTCTCTGGATCAGGGAGCTGGTATGGGTGTCTTTGGTTAGCATTGGGTTGGATGTTGCTGTGCTCCTTGCTTCCCTCTGGATTAGGGAGCTGGTATGGGTGTCTTTGCTTAGCATTGGGTTGGATGTTGCTGTGCTCATGATATCCCTCTGGATCAGGGAGCTGGTATAGGTGTCTTTGCTTAGCATTGGGTTGGATGTTGCTGTGCTCATGATATCCCTCTGGATCAGGGAGCTGGTATGGGTGTCTTTGGTTGGCATTGGGTTGGACGCTGCTGTGCTCATGACACCCCTCTGGATCAGGGAGCTGGTGTGAGTCAAATCTGTGGTCAGCAGAGCCGAGTCTGTTGTCACTAGAGCAGAGGCATCATCGCTGGTGAAGCTGAAAGCATCACCCTCAGGAAGGGCTGTGTTTGAGTTGGGCTGTGTAACGTTGCTCTCTGACTGGCATTTGTTGTAGAGCTCCAGCAGTGAAAAAGATGTTGAAGGTCTGCTCGAATCTTCCTGGGATGTACAAAAGGTCTCCCCAGCCCTGCAGAGGGAAACCAGAATAGTCAAGATCCAGAAGAACACTACAGGTTTCTGTTCTGTTCAGGCTGCCTGGATTGGAATTGGCGACCTGCTGTCAAAACCGTCTTTTTGTTAGTGAGAATGTGAAACCACAGCTAGATTGCCTTAACTAGAGTCCAGGCAGCTTTGCACAGCGCTGAGTGTGGAATTTAGCTGGAACTGGCTTTGTAAGGTGCAGGGACATCTTGTGCCCGAGGGGAAGTGTCCTTTGGTACAACAATGGCTGTGAACTTTAGCAAAGGGCAATGGCATTCAGCTTGTCTTAAAGGGTCAGACTTTAATGCAGCAGTAACAGGGGAACACATGCAGGGAGCTGTAACAGGATTCCCAGGATTCCTAATCCATCTGGTTTAGGCAGCTGGAGGTGGGCTGATGCGGGACTTTTAAATGACTAAGATCGAATTCTTTATTTACTCAGCCCCTGAAATTCTGGTAAAGAATGCAACTGCTAAACCCATCCCGATGAAACACTGTCTAATTTCAACAATCTACTCCCCTGCTCTCTGAGAGATTTGATGACAAATCTTCTTGGTGGCCTTTGAAAAGGAAGAGAGACCATTTATATGCAAATATTTCCTTTAACTGCAGCTTACTGTAATTCGTCTGTAAAACTGAGGGGAGCGTGAAAACAATAGGTGAGAAATGGTGCTATTTGCAAGGGGTTTTGTTGACTGCCGGTGATGTAAGCTTTGCTAGTAGCAGGGTGAGGAGAAAATAATTTATTAACGATCTTCCAAAGTTTCCCAGTTTCTGTTCCCCAGCGCTGGCACATCGAGACAGCTGATTTTCTAACTTCAGCTAATACGGAAACATGTGAAATATGGTCCAAAACAGAAAAGAAAATATTCTCACCTAAAAGTAGAACCACAGCTAATAACACCTTATGCTTTGTCCCTGAAAGGAACATTACTTTGCACTTCTACCTCTTGTGGGAGGGAAGAACACACAAGGAATTTGAGTAACTCAGTGAATGGTGGTGAATGTCTGGTCCCCAGACAACTTGCACGCTGGAGTTGTGCCTGCAGAGCATTACTCGATCTCTTGGGCTCACTTACTTTTGCAGAACAACTTTCTCGGGCTTGGACAGCAGCCAGGAGAGCTGGCAGCTGCACAGCAGAGGATTCCCGTACAAGTTGATGGTGATGCCATCCGATGAATTGGTGTTCCAAGGATTAAAGGAACTCAGGTTACAGCTGCAAGAAGACAAATGCAATAATTGAGAAATGCTGAGCTACCTTCCAACGACTGGAGTGTGCTTAGGTGTCCCTTACCCTTAGTGTGTGTAAGGCACAGAGCGATATTCCCAGTTCCCCTGGCAGTGAGCAGTTATTAAACCCACCACCCTGCATTCTGCATGCTCAGAAGATGCTCTCTTCTTTCTAGGACTTTAAGTCCTTAGAGTTTGGGCAAGATTTTTAGCACTTTGAACTGGTATTCCTGCAAGTGTTGGAAAGTGCTGTGTAAATTCAGTGGGGCAATCAAGGGGGGATGGAATCCATAGGATTTTTGCTTTGTATGGGTTTATTTTCCTGGAACTGGTTTCTAGGCACAGCCAGTGCTCTAGTGTTTGTTTTCTGATATGCTTGTATCTGGGTTGCTATTATAAAAATGTTTCAAAGTGCTCTCCAGATTTTTTCCTTTATGCTGGCTGCTCTGTGTGCACTTCACCTGCTTTTATTTTGATAAATCAGTTTCAGACTTTTGCCCCTCTTAGTATTTCGGGTATGTGACATATGAAGAGGTGGTTCCCCTAGAATGAGGACTGAAACATTGCTTTTACTAATGATGAGCAAGGAGCTATATTAAACTCTCACACTAAAAGTGGGACAGGATTTTTGTCTGCTTCTGAGATGCAGGTTTTGGAGAGCTGTCAGCACTCATCCTTGCAGAGCAGGGAACCCTCAGTGACCTGCTTCTCCTCTGATGGGATTTTGCCCTTGGAAGCCTGGTCTTTATCACAAGCAGGGTTCAGTGGATCTGTGCTGATCCAAACAGCTGGGTGAGTTTATCTGTTGGACAGGGAGATAAGGCAGAGGAGTGGGAACACAATGGATGCAACCTCAAGCAAACAATTAATTGTGCTATGAGCCCCAGGCTGCCTCTTTGGGCTGTATCAGCTCTATCAGGCCAGATCACAGATTTTACTGGGCAAAGACAGCAAGTCCACACCTCCTTCCTAAATCTGATAACAAACTGTTCAATTCAGCTCCCAGGCACCACAGGGCTGTGAGGCAAAGGCAGCAGGATGTGAGGAAGGACAAAAAAACCCAACTCACTTCTCAAATGAGAGATGGCTCAGGTGAGGAGCACTGTCAAACATCTGTGTCTGCACGAAACCCAGGGAATGAGAGTCCTGACAGTGCAGCTCTCGGAGACCAGGCAGGGACTTGAGGAAGTCGCTGTCGAGGCTTCTTAACCGTGGCATGTTTGTCAGGTGAAGTGATCTGAGGTTGGCCAAGCCTCTGGCCCACTCTGGTTGAACTGAAACAGAAAAATATTTACACCTGTTGCCTGAACAGAGCATTCCTGTGGATTTCTGCCTAGAAACAGGGTTTGAATTCATAGATATGAAGTATCTGTCACCTTCTGCCGCTATTCTCTTAGGGAAAGGGATAGAACAAAAGTCAATACACCAGTGTGTAAACACTCATGCAGCTGCATTTCTGTAATAGTCCCCACAGGTCAGGCTGTCGTAGGGCAGAGGAAAAGGGGAAAATAGGACAGCAAAGCTGATAAGAGATATGGAATAGATTTCTTGTTGGGTGAGATGAAATGAACAAGGATTTCTCTGCTCAGGAAAGCGGTCTACAAGGTCCTGACTGGTGCAAGAAAAGAAAATCATTCTCCTAGCACGAGAAAATAGCCAAGAGGCATGAAACTGAAAGGATGGGTCTTGTATGAAAGGGCCTTTCTGTCCCATGACTCAGAAGGGTAACTCACTACCACAAGACACATTTATGGAGGAAATTTGGTGGTGCAGCTGTTTAATGTGAGTTGAAGTGAACCTCTAGCTTGAGGAGGCTGTGCCCCAGGCTGAGAGCAGCTGGGCAAGGCATCTCACACCTGTGTGTCTCAGCACCTCAGGTATAAACTGAGACTGGCAGGGCAAAAGGGAGAACCCATCCTGTGGATTGCTCGGGGCAGGGATTGTCTCCCCCCTCAGAACCCATCCTGTGGATTGCTCGGGGCAGGGATTGTCTCCCCCCTCAGCGGGCGGAAGTGTTCGGGCTGTGGATGGCACAAAAAGCCTCTCTCTGTGCTACTTCAGTGCAGCTCTAAAAGCTCAGTGTAGCTGTGGGGACAAAGAAAGATTTCAGCAGCCTGTCTGGAAAGAGAAACTAATTTCCTCCTGTGCTTCCCAAAGCTAATCCCGGGGCTGACAGGGAGATGACTGTCAGCAGCAGACAGTGGGATTAGCATGGAGGTGGGTGGCTACGCTGGGACAAACCCTCCTGTCTCATGGCCTTTGGTCTCTGCCCTTCCTTTGGGAGGCTGCTTTGCCTGAGAGTGCCTGGAGCAGCTGTTTGCAGCTTTCAGTGTGGGGTGTTCCCCCTGCACTCCAGCTCAGCCAGGATGGGAGCCATGGTCCCAGCAAGGCTTCTGCTCCCCTGGCCTGACCAAGCCCTGTGGTTCCAGTGGGAAACCCAAGAGACTTACTTCTCTCAAGAAAGGTCCTGCTCAGATCAAGCACATTGATGGAGTTTCCAGGCCTGTCCATGGCCTCGTGGGGATCTGTGCTGATGGCAAAAGCAGAGTCCCTAATTCCTCTGCTGTCATCCTGCCCGAGCAGCGTCACAGAGAGGTTCAGGACCTGCAGCTGAGGGTAGCAGGAAAAGGCCAGTGGCTGGATTTCAATCAGGGGATTTCCAGCCAAGGACAACCACTTCAGGTTAGGCAGGACAGAGCCGTGGCAGGATGGCACAGATGACAGCTTATTGAAGCTCAAGTCCAGCTTGTGGAGATTGCTGAGGACTTCAGATCCCCACCTCACTGCCCAGAGGTGGTTGTGCCTCAGCGAGAGGACACGCAGCTGTGGCAGGTTTGCTATCTCTGTGCCATTCACCTCCTCCAAGAGGTTATTGCTGAGATCCAGGCTCTGCAGGGCCTCTGGAAGGCAGACTGGGAAAGCTGTCAGGCTGCTGTTGGTCAGCTGCAGGGTGATCCAGGTCCTGTTCTTTTGCTCCTCACAGGACATGCTGGTGAGATTAACATTCTCCCAAGTGTCCTCCTGAGCCAGCTGGAAAACGGTGGTGACATCCCTGGCAGCTGCTCTGCTCACTGGGCCATGTGCTGTGGTCCCCAGCAGCAGAGGGAGGATGAGCAAGGGTGACAGCATCCTTCTCCAAGGTGCTTGCAGTTTGCAAGATCTGTTTCCTTTGTGTTTCAGGGAGGGAAAAACAAAACATCGACATTTAGAGCTAAAATCCTTCCAGCCATCTACAAACTAGTTAAAAGAAAAACAGCTTATAAACCCTTTGCTATTATATCCAGACAGTGATAAGTGATAATTAATAGCTCTTCTGTAATTAAGCCCAAGCAAACATGAATCCTCAGGGACAGAAGTACCATGCAATCTTAGTCTAAGTGTGCCTACAGTTGTTCATGCAGAGAGCATGAACCAAGCTGTATCCCACAGCAGGCCCCTCAGTGCCAGCAGGTTGTCCTGCACTGTGCCCAGTTTGGCCAGCCCAGTGGGAAGAGTTTTCCAGTGGGGTGATGCCCAAACAACCGGGTCCAGTGTGCCTGTGGCAGGGAACTGTTTCCTGTGGGGTTGTGTAAAATGAATGGATCCGAGGACAGAGGGGAGTTACCAAACTTTAAAGCCCAGGACCCCAAACCGGGCTGAGTTATGTTGGAGTGGGCAGGTAAAAGCGCCTTTTCTGTGTTAGGAAGGACTTTCCTTTCCTTAGCAGAAGCTGGAACAGAAAAACCAGGGCCTTGTGTGGGCTCTGCCAGGGCAGTCCTGCCCCATGGTGAGCACAGTCCCAGCGGGGACCCCACAGGGATGTTTGGGCTCCTGAGGAGCGGGCAGTGCCCCCGAGCCTGTCTGCCAGGCAGGGCTGGGCCTGCTGTGGGTGAGAGGCACAGACAGGCTCTGCACGGCCCAGCTGCTGGGAAAGGATGCACTGAAAATGCAGCTCCCGAACCACATTTCAGTGGAAGTGGTCAGAAACCGAGTATGCTCCTGGATCGGGGCCCCAAAGGCCTGAGCGCCAAGAAACACGTTATGGAGTGTTACAGCTGCCTCCGTGCTCCCTCCTCCTCCCACCCCTGCTTTGGTCTTTGTAAAAAAAAACGTCCACAGTGACTCGTACCCACAGGTAATGTGTGTGAGAGGAAGGAATTAACCCCAGCCCCAAACTCGTGCTTTTCTTGTTGAGCTGTCTTTTGTGCTTCCCGGTAACAAAATGACGATTCCTCGTCCAGAAACATATTACAGTGTAGGGTGGTAACCGAAACCCCACGGATTATGAAACATCTCAGACTTATTCCAAAGTTTAATTGCTCCTCGCTGTTCCCTGAAGGATGCCAGGTCTTGCCCAGACCGTTATCCTTTGCTGCCATCCCAGGTTTGAAGTAGGGACCAGCAAGATAGTGTACACCGGAGCACCAAATCATGTGTTGTGTTTGCCTGTGTCCTTTTCGTCAGACGGCACCGTGCTAGATCCGAGCAGCCTCAGGGCTTCCCGGTCACCGGAGCCGCTGGATCTCCTGCTCCGCAGCACATTGGCAGGGAGAGGATGGAGGAATTGGGCTGCTGTATTCCAGTCTTAGATTTAATCTTAATCCTTGCCTCTAAACCGCGTCCGCCTGCACGTACCTGTCCAAAGTCCCGGTGTCTCGTGCCTCCGCTCCGAGTGGCTCCGGCTGCTCGGCCCTGATTTTATAGGCTCGGGGTGACTCAGCCGGCAGCGTGAGCTGCCTCTCTCCCGGTCCCAGCTTTCCCTGCTCCCTCCTCTGCCCACAGGCTCAGGCGAGGTTTGTTCCAGGCTCGCTCCCCCGCATCCAGCTTTGAGAGGGGGCGGCTCCGGGCAGCTTTCCCCGCTGCCTTGGCCCTAGCAGGAGGTGGGTGGGAGGGCTCTTATTTCCCAACGCTCGGGCAGGGCTGCTCCTGTCTGTCTTTGTCTGAGCAGAGGGGGGTAAAGGGAAAAGATCAGTGTCAATAGTCCCGATTCTCACGTCTTCCACCGACGGGGGGAGGGAGAGGAATTGTTGTGTTCCTTTGTTGGCAGGTCAGGATGATGTAAAGCTGAGGCTCGGCCTGTTGACATGAGCTTTGGTCTCTCTTTAGGCGCCGATGAGGGGCTTCAAGTGTTTGAATTTCTAAGACTCTTGCTCTTGGGGAGTAAATTCTGCAGAAGTTCACGCAGGACAAATTACTTTCTAAGGAGGCCCTTAGGATATGTCAGAAGTGAAACTCTCACCTGCTCCTCCCGCAGAGAGGAATTCTCTCTGCCGATGGAGAGGGCGTAGGGCATCTCAATCCCCGTGTGACGGCCTTCGGGAGGCCTCTCCTGGTCCCGCTGTGCGTGGGCTGTGTTCTCTGTCCTGCATCTGTGTAACACATGGCTTGGGACAATTCCCTTCCCGCTACTCCTCTCATCCTTTGCTGGATAAGTAAAACTGACAACATAAACCATCTCCCACTGAGGGACCTGCCCCGAGCTGGGTTTTTCAGCATTCCCACAATTCAAACAATAATTAGGTCGAGAGCAGAGAGTAAAGTCAGGGAAATGATCCCAGACAGGGATGAGTTGATGGAGACTGTTCCAAAGTAAAAGCTAAAGGGTGGTTGTTCTGTAGCTACTGTAGGACAATTAATTGTTAAAATTTCCAAGGAGAACAGTAGTCAGTGCTTTTCCTTTATCGGGGCAACGAAACAGATCCCTGACATGAAGGCAGCACCGACCTGTAAACTTCGGTGCTAAAGTGCAGATAAAGGCCTTGCTTGCCCAAAAACGTTGAGTCTGCAATCACACATTAGGCAGACCTTATCTACTGACCGTGTGGGTCATCGTGAGCGTGGGGAGAGAGCCTTGAAGAACACCAGAACATCCACAGAGCAGAGATAGGCGCTTCCAGCAAGGCTCTCTGGAGCCGCGGCTGCTCCCTTGGAGGCCGGGCGAGGCGCACACGGTGTTCCCCCGCGGAAGGGCTCTGGGGCAAGGCGGACGGTTCCCAAACGAGGGGCTGATCCCACCCCTGACCCCGGGGCCCGGCACGTGCGCGCCCGCAGGTACCTCCAGAGCTCCGCGGTTCAAAGGGCGAGGCGGAGCAGGTTACAAAAATCTGAAGAATTTGGTCTAAGGGGAGGAAAGCCCAGCTCCAGGCAGGCCGGTGGAAATCCTGCCTTCCCCGTGGCTTGGCAGAGCTGCCGGCTGCCTGCGGCACTCCTCTTCGGGAAGCCCAGGAGCAGGGAGGTGGCCTGGCTTTGCCCTGGATTATTAAATACCTGTGATTGCTGCCCTTACCTCAGTATTTACAGACAGTGAATTTTCATTGCTTATTTTAGGCTTATTTGCTATCTTACTGATTTTAATATTTTTCAAAAAATACTCCAGGAGACTCGGTGAGCCAAAAGCTGCCTTGGTTTTAATGAGTTCATCCTTACTGACTTCATTTTGGGGACTGAGTCGAGCAGACTGTCAGACTGGGACAGCGGCTGCTCGTTTTGGTGAAGGTGGAAGGGACGTGGAGGTTTTCTTTGCCCAGAGGCCCTTGATTTCTGAGTGATACAGAGAATCTGTTGCAAGAGGCTGAGCACCCTTGCAAAATGAGCTTTGGTTATTTTTATTTTCCATCTTAGTTTCTGGTTGTTTTTTTTTTTTTTTTTTTTGTTGGCCAGTTTTTGTGCCAGGTATTGTGTTTTCCCAGCTTTTTGCTTAGCTGCAAAGAGCTAATCTCTCATCATCTGAAATATTTCTGCCGTGGTGCTACCTCTCAGGCAGCTGCCCAGGTGCTGGTGGAGGTTTCCCAGGGCAGGCAGCAGCCCTCGTTCAACAGTTTCTTTGAAATATCTGCTAACAGCAGGCAGAGATTTCCCCTTTGTGATTCACTTTGGCTTGTTCTCATGTCGCCTTTTATTCTTTTTTCCGCTTTTTTGCGAGTTTCGGTGACAACCTGAGGGAGCGCTTAGCAAGGGCAGGCGTTCCTGTCAGCCTTTTCACACGGGCGATGCAAAGAGAGCTAAGGCAGACGCCCCCTCCCCGGGGCGATTCAGGGCTGCACAAAGCCCCTCTGCCCGCAGGAATTCTCGGGCTGAGCCCTGCATTCCTTAGTGACACCAAGATAAGCAGAGCAGGAGAAGGTGAGGATGGTACCAGGCTGTAAAATTTAAGAGGTGAATGTTTCTTACTGGCCCTGATCCAAGTGATGGTTAAGAAGGAAAATATCCTGAAAAAAAATCTGGAGAAAGGCTTTTAAAGGCAACAAAAGAAATGTTTCACGGATCTATCCACAGAGTAAGCACAAGCAAGACATTTTCCTGCAGAGAAAGGGGAGAGAATGGAAGAACAGGATTATTTAGCCTGAGGTATCAGAAAACGATGGGGTGTGTGCCTCCTAGCCCAGGCTGAAGGCAGTGGTGAAATCCCCTGTGGAATTTGATGTAAGAGCAGCAGGATCCATCTGACATCGGCAGTGCTTTACCCTGGCCTGGTTTGGGTCTAATTAAGCACCGTGTACAGAATAGGGTTGCAGCTGAGAGGAAGTGTAAGTTTCCTAAAGGTTTGTTTTCATCTAATAGCATTCCTGCCCAGCATTTCATCTCTGGATTGCAAAACTTCAGGGCAGACGCCCCTGTCCTGCTTTCACTTCTTCACTCTTTCACTCCTTCTGGGAAACCTCTCCCACATCTGGCCCTGTGCAATTAATAACGTGGTTTCTGCAGCCCACCTGGTCTTAATCCTGTGCATAAATAGGTGTGGTGAGCTCATGGGAGCCAGGGGTGATCGGGTTATTGCACAGGTTAGGGAGGGTGTGGAACTCCACTGCACTGAGGGCATGTCCGGAGCCTGGTGGGACGTGCTGGGTGACACGGCTGGGATGAAGGATGACCCAAGCTGTGGCTGCTGCAGGTGTCAGGCACAGCAGGCTGGGGCACGCTCCTCTCAGGTGCTGCCCGCCACATCCAGCCTGCAATTATGGAAGTGCAGGAATGCCCTGGGTCCTGCCTTCTCACTCCAACCTCTGCAGGAAGGAGTCTTCCCACTGAAACCTCTCCTCTTTGTAGGAAGAGGAGCTGCAGCCACATGCAGCACTCAAAGCAGCTGGATAAAACCAGCTTCCTTTCCCATCTATTTCCTACCTATTGTGAAAAAGCCTTGCAAAGTGAGT